GGGGGCTTTCTGGCCCCTCCTTTTTTTAATATCTAATATTTTTACATGCTGCTAGTGAGAGAACCTGTTGTTAAAATATTTGAATCCCACACTGGGTGTAACCATACTGTAAAGTAAATATATAACATTTCACGTTACCTTTCAGAACCCAGGAAGCAATGATTGCTACACCCTTTCAGTTAATCATAGTCATATGGCTTCGTTACGAAAACATTCCGGAGTTGATGGCATCAAAATGCCCATGCCAGAACGAAATGAGTTAGAAAGAAGATTCACTTTAGTTTTGGTAAGCTTTAAAATATATCTATTTCTTGGCGCAATGAATAAATACCTGACTATCCTACTTGATGGCTTGAAAAGCAAGGGTCACAATGCCTTTTAGTCAACAGTCCTTTGACTACCTAGTTGCACTAGCTTTGATGATTCAGTAGTGGTTGTAAAATGTAACCTATGCATTCTGTGAAACATTAATAGCCAATAGCTCAGATAGTAAGGGAGGATACTTCCTTTCAATCACTGATTGCACAAACTAATGACTACATTGGCTTTGATGATCAATCCCATACTTATCAACTGGGAGACTGATGTTAGTGTTTTATCTGCTGGTCAAAACTGGTAGTCACTTCCATTTCCAGCAAATCCTCATTTGGTTTATCAAAATTAGTCTCTACAGTTTCCTCTCTGTCATCAGACAGGTCGAGACGACTTGACATGGTGCCATTGTCCTCCTCTGGCTCAATGGTTTCCTTTCTAAACTCCTGGTCAAGCCAGTTCAAAATTCTCATCTGTGATGTATAAATGCAACTTGTCGATGTGTTACACATGCTTTTGCATGCCTCACGTCTTTGTAGCTCATACATTTGGGGACCAAATTGTTAGAGAATCAGGTTTGGGCCAGTCCTTCAGATCCAAATGGTTTTTGGGCAGCTGGCAACGATCACAACCACACCAGTCACCACATTAGAACATTTGTTTTTTCGCTGTCTAACTGTAGCAATTCTTATGTCGACATACTGCTTTCTTGTACTGTTGTCAGGTGAATTTGTGTCCATCAACTATCAATAATCTTAGCCAATCTTCATACTCTTGAAGACACTAGGGCGCTTCTTCTTGTGGTGGTGGGCCACATATCACGTCCACAGGAAGTAACACTTCCCATTCCAACGTGAGTCAATTCATTAATCAGCCTATTGATCCTTGTTCCTGTTGTTCTGTATGCCATCATCACTTATAGTAAGTGTTTATCCTAGTCGGTTTGTTTGGGATCAACAAACTTTACAAGTTTGCTTGGTAGCCTGTAACCATTCTGCCAAACCGTCATACTGGAGGGGTTGAAATGAAGAAAAAGTCTTCATTACATCTAACTAATAACACAACTCAGTAAACACTTGGCTGTTGAAGTCAGCTCCCTTGTACACGCGGAGTTCGTCCAATTTTCCATATCATGTTATCCGGCTCTTGGCTAACATATTTGGGACTATTTGTGTTAGTGTATCAACCAATGGGTAAGCTCTGCCCGTTTCCTGAAGTAGTTAACAGCAATGAGTATGTAGTGATGACCTCCCAGTGTTTGGAAGTGGACAAGCAATATCCAGGGCTATTACATGCAGAGATGATCTAACAATTTTCTGTTGAAATTTGCCATGTCTTGGCTGGTTTTTCCTCGTGGCAGCACATACTGCACAAAACCAGTGCAGAACATCTCAACCCACTTGTGGCCAGAAGAACCATGATCAAATGTTACCACAATTGCAGGAACTTACATCTTGGTGACCTCAAGGCTTTGTGTTGTGCAAAGTCCAGAGTATTTCTTACCACAGAATTCTGGTGACCACTAGCTTTAGCATTGTTGGATCATCATGCCTCGTGAGTTGATAGTAATGGTACAGCGCAAATAGAGCATTTTCCATAGCAGCTACCACTTGTCACTGGTCATCCCAGACCTGTTTATCTGATGGTTGATATGAAAACCCTTTCCTACTTTGTTGCTCAGCAAAATGATTTGTAATTTGGTATATGCTAAACTGTTGGCTGGAACAAATAGCCCTGCTGTATTTTCAGCATGTCAAGGTACAGACAATTCCTTTGCCAGTACCCCATTATTACACATACAAAGCAGATGCATCATTCTTTACGTACTGGATGATGTCCATGTGAAGGCATTAGCCATGGCTGCAGTATGTATCCCATGGGTGGATCATATGCATAATTGTATCTCTCCACTAGTAAACATTCTCTCTTGGTCACGAGTACTTCTACATTAAAAAAAAATGTAATTCTTTCTGTGAGAAGCATTCTTTTAAGCTCAATAAACCTAAGAGGTTAAACAACAACTAGTATGTACTTATCAGTCTGTCATACTACCAAGTACTTTGCCAACAGCTACCCCAAATCTAAGTTGAACTGAAGTCTGAATAAGCCAGATAACAAGGACTGTTGAATTTTCTATTGGACATTACTTGAAACTAGGTTAGGGCTTACATGTATTGCAAGTTACAATTTGAAAATGTTCTGTTAAGCAGATTTTGTGGTAATTTAAGAAGTCTGGTTTCTTCTTTCTATCTTTTTTCCTAACTTATTGTGTTAAGGATATATCTTTGAGTCAGAAGTATGGAGTTTAAATGGGTCATTTGTAAAAACATGGGGATTGTATTTTTGCAACCTACGAGTCTAAGTCTGTTCAACTTATGAAATTTCTAATAAATGCTGTTTTTGTTTTGAATTTCATGCAAAGCTACACAAGGACTATCTGCACCAGCCGTCCCTAATTTAGCAGTGAAAGACTAGAGGGAAGGCAGCTAGTTATCCCCCCCCCCCCCAACTGCCAACTTTTGGACTACTCCTTTACCAATGAATAGTGGGATTGATTGTCACATTATAATGCCCACACAGCTGCTATTTTTGTTAATAATCTTAGTATTAACATTCCGGTTATTCTTAGTGTGGTACTCTCGGGTGTAACCTCTTTTCACCACCTGAGTATTAAATCGGAAGATCAGTCAGGAAAACTGTAAAGTAAATCCAAGCTTAACTAAAAGACTGGGTTCAAGCTAAAAAAATAAACAGACCAGACGTGATGTAAAGTGAAACATTCTTTACTTATTATTACAAAGCAAAAATACAGTGTGTGTACTTGCACTGACATTGGACAGTTGCCTTCTGAAGACGTCTTTCCATGGATCTGTTCACTGTGATAAATAAACAGGCAAATCCAATGCTCTGTACTAACAGGAAATGTTGGATTTACTCAAAAGTGGCAATCTTTTACAAGATAGCCTGTAACCTCCAGATGTTATCTATTCAGCCAGTGAAGGACATTTATGTTGTTAACCTGTACTTGTGTAAACTTCCAGCAATATCACTGCAGGCAAAGTAGATACTACTTGTTAGAGAACAACAGTAACAAGAACCAAAACAACTCATTGGTTTTCTGGATCACATGTTTATGCAAAAATTACAAAGAAACAGACTAAAAAATAAAAATACCCATATTAATAAAAGAAGGCAGAAAACATATAGTATGACTGTATTGTACATTATTGTAGATTAAAAGATTTGTAGCATTTCTTCTACATATCCTTGTAGGAAATGATTTTTCACCCAAACAACACCTCTTGCTCACAAAATAGATTCAATTGCCAGGTTAGAAATCCCTATATTTGAGGCAAAGACATATCCTAATTTCTAACTGCAGAACAGAGGGAGGACAACCAGTAGGTAGAAACAGTCAACTAATCAACATCCTTAACTGAATATTGAAGTTGACTGCTGCTCTTATAATGCAGTCATAGCTGAAAATATTGTGAATGCTAACTCAATTCACTTTGGTGCAAGTGTTCTTGGGGAATATATTTATTTCCTACATATGATATGAATGAACACTTTATAAAGACTATTGAAAAACTAGTGCAAGACATTTTATAAACCAAAAATGTTTAGTAACGTTAAAGGAAGGTGTTTAAATAATGCGGAGTCAATGTTCACTGAAGTCTCAAGTAATGAAACATAGTTTTTCACAATTATTTTGTATTTTTGAGAAGTAAAGTATACTATTCAAAATTGTTAAATATGTAATCAATGCTACTGGGAAAGCTTCACACAAGAAGTCACATGTGGTAAAAAATTATCTTGCTATTATCTTACACTTTATTTCAAGATAGTGCATCACTTAGTTTCTTATTTTCGATATGACAAAATAGCTATCCATTAATCAATGCTTTTGGAGTTTCTTGAGAATTTTTGACTGATTTCAAAGAAAATACATTATACAGAAAATTATTAATTCATCATTCAATCTTTATCTGATTTTTTATCCAATTGTAGGTTGTGTTATATGTTTTAGCTGGAGTTTTGGGCATTTACTGCATGAAAGTTATTTGTAAGTACTGTATTATCCTGTTTAATTCAAAAATATTATATAAAAAGAGCTTTAAAATATTCTGTAATGCACAAACAATTGACAATGGGTTTGATTTATATATAAATGTCACTGTGTGAGTGTATATATATATATATATATATAATAAATACTATTATCCTGGTTAATTAAAAAATATTACACAAAAAGAGCTTTAAATATTCTGTAATGCACAAACAATTGACAATAGGCCCGATTTATATATAAAAGTCAGTGTGTGTGTATGTATATACTATATATATACTAAGACATTAAATAGAAGATCCATATGAATATTTATTAAATATTCTTTGTTACTTTTCATTTAACCCTTAAGTAAATTTCATGGTTTCAAAATATTATGTAAATATTATTTTTAAATTATAATTTTTTTCCCTCTAATAATAAAAAAGTGGTAAAAGTTGACACATGAGCATCTTAATTTTATTAGCTTGGCTATTTTTCCTTCTGCATATTTTGAAATTTTATATGTATATGAAGAAATGGCTTTAATATCATAAGAAATGGATTTCAATTAAAATCATTATTGTAAATAAAAGCCAAGTGCCATTTACCTAATATCCTGAATGATACAACACACATTGTTTTACACTAGGGGAAAGATAGCTAGTTGAATAGTGAGATTAAACCATTACATTATAAGGCACCCATGGCCCCAAAGTGCAGGGCATGTTTCTATAACAGATTCACAGTACAGTATGCTGATCACTACGACACGCTTGGCCCATAAGACAAGATGGCAGATAAATTACAGATTGGTTACTATGTCTACAAAGTTATTGAAATTTTAGAGTTACAGCTTGTTTCACAGGCAAATGGAATAATTATGTTCATTTACGATTCTATTAGGGGGAAAAAATGACGATAGTGAGCCACAATATTTGAAATACTAGGTTCTCTAAAGCACTGGTGATTTGTTGAATGAGTTGCACATTTTGTGAATGATGAGTATTTAAAATTGTGTTTTGTGTCCAACTCCAAAATGTCACCAAGAGTTCTTTTTCTGGGCACAGCTGGATAATAAACACACTTATACATAAGTTACATCTGTCATGGCAGTTTTACACACAAACAAATGGACACCAGCTATTTTCTTTATCAATCTATGACATATGTCAAGAATTTTTCTTTCGCAATCCTCTATGGAAAAACAAACTCACTTGCTTGACAGATTTGCCAACTCCTACTATAAACAAAAAGAATGGCTAAGAGTTATACCCCATAATATAAAAAGTTTATTAAATATAAAAAGGCAGACAGCTACTTAATGTCACAGCTAACAATGAAGAACTTTTTGGAAAGTGATGGTTTCTAATGTAATGAGTAAAAAGTCTTAGTTCACAACAATCTGCAATATATCAGATTATACTAACACCAAAACAAGTAGTTGTTTTTGCTATTGTGATCTAGCAAGTCTTTTAGGATGTTTTATTCTCCTTTTTCCACTTCATTCGTCGATTTTGAAACCATATCTGAATTTGTTTTTCTGTTAAGTTGAGAGTATGGGCTATCTCAATTCTTCTGCGTTGAGTCAGATATGGGTCCAAGTGGAATTCTTTCTCTAAGGCCAATGTCTGATAGAAACTATAAGTTTGGCGACTTCTTCTTTGATCTGGAAAAATAAGCAAATGTTTTTATCATACTTACATTAAGAAGTGAAATTTCACTTTGCAAAGCAAACTGCACTATGACAATCATATCGCACAAAATATGGTTCAAATAAAATCAATTTTATATAGCAGTATATCTCATTTAGGAAGTGGCTACCAATACTAGTAGCTGTTTGGTTGTTGAAAAGGTACTTGCCAAGATGGTTAATATAAAAAACAGCATTCTTTATCTGTATATTTTTAAAAGACTATCATTTTATAGGTACATATATACTGTAATGTAATTGTGCTGAAACCTGATTATTATTATTTTTTTGGTAAGAATTATCAGTCTAAACCAGTATTTTCAGAAATATAAACCATTAGTTTATAAACTATTATCTACAAGTGAAAAACGTTACATTAAACTTGCATATACAATATATGTGTATATGGTAAAAAACAAAAAGCCATTAATACAAAAGAAAAACAATATATAAATATATTTTTGTGTGTTTATTGTACAGTAACTTATTGTTAATTGAAGTCACACTTCATAAAAGAACAAACCATTTAAAAGAACTGAAAAATACATATATCTTCCAATTCATATCACAAATGATCCTTATCTGAAAACATATAAAAAACATCAGATGAAGAATAAAACTAACAGTTTTGCAGTCTTTTTTGAACAACTTAATTAACATAAATATTTCTATGTTAACTCAGTGTGAAGTTGAGAAGTATACTTCTCCCTATATGTATGTTATTTCTACAAACATTTGTGAAATGGTTCATCATACAAAGCTATGCCAGATTATTACACAAAAACAAACAAATCAAACACACTAATTTGCAGAGGAAACATTATTAAAACATGTTTTATTGCACATTATAAAAGGAAAACCAAGAAATTATGTAATGTACAGAATAACAGATTATTCATACAGCAAAGATCATACTTGAAACTGGGTGTAAAATTAAATGGTTACAGGTACGACTGTAACATTGCATAATTTTTTGTCATTCACCAAAATAAATAAAAAAACAGAAAAGAATTAAAACACAAAATACGAGGAAAAAATATCAGAACAAAAAAAGAAAACAGACAATTCATTTTACCTAAAATAATAAACTTTCCTACTTGAGTTTCCAAGCAGTTAATATTTTCCATAACATCGATAATTTAAGCCTTAATTTACTAATTTGTTAACATAACGTTCACTACTGGACAGGTTCACATATTGCATCATATTAAGTAATGTACTTTTTCTGGCTGTTAAAACACTTAGTGTAAAGAATCAATAAAAAAATTGGATGAAATAATTAATTTCCTTTGCAAAATACACAGAGAAACCCCAGCATTAATCAATTAGTAGGATTTATTGCTGTTTAGATTATCTTGTGTAACTTGCATGTTATTATAAACCCCTTGTAACTAACAAATGTGGTACATCAATACTTTAGAAAAAGTATTTAAAACCTAAGTTAAAATATTCTGTAACATTCAAATGTCATATTCTTTATAGGCTCCATTCTTCTCACTTCAAAGATAGTTTTTTTCTGCAGTTTTCTTAGTCAAAAATGTGAAATTGTTTGCAAAGTTACTCTGATATTGGTATTATAACTAGAAAAGGATTGTATGTTCTGAATTTAGAACACAAATTGGCAAAACTCAAAATGTGACTATTCTACAATTAACTGGTTTCTTTAAACTCCTTTCTTAAAAGTTATTATTCTTTATTGTTCAGCTTCTTAAGCAAAACTTAAAAATTGCAATAAAAATATTGTAGATGAACAAATCAAGAGAAGCTATAGAACTTTAGTTTATTGAAACAAGAAACTCTGTTGCTAAGTGTTTTTAACTAAGAAAATTATTTCATTAATGTCTACTTACAATGCTTCATTCATTGAAGTAAATTCTTAAATGTTCTGTATCACTACTATCCATCGGAGAGTTAGTTACACATTTATCAACAAATCATTATATCCTTTTGCTTCAAGCTCTTTTTATTTTACTATTTCTGCTTTACTTAAAGGGGTGAGGGCAAAGTTGAGAAAAGTACTCTTCATTTGAAGCATTAGTGAAATCGTCATGAGATGTTCCCTTGTCATTCGTACATCTTTTGGGGTTGGTAATTGTTATGTAAGCTTCAGGTGCTTGGAGAATGGGAATGATGAATCATCTCTTAATTATTCACTCACATTCTGCAGGATTGTACCAGGTTCTGTAAAGATCTGACACTGTTACCTACATGTAATAGCATTATCTCAGCAATCAAGATGTTTTATTTCAACAAGTTTGCTTTTGAAATACCAGAAAAGGAAAGTTTTTATCTCTAGACATAACTGGTAGAGAAAATGAGAAATGTTCACATCTACTCTTCTTAATACAATAGACTAGTCAGGATTATCAGGTCATTCACATTATGACATACAAACATGTGTCCTATTCTTTTTAGAACCTTTTTATACCATAGTTCTGTTTATTTAACTGTTCTTTCAGTCTTTAATTTCATGATGATTACTTGTCTATCTTTATATTCTGCACAAAGCAACTCCCAATAACACTAATATTGCTACTGAAATAAGGTCAGAAAATATTTGGAGATCTCCAACTTTTTATTTTCCCAAAACTCCTATTTCTTTATATTCACAAAATTACAAATGCACATACCAGTGAAGAAAAAACTAAACTTTTTTGTGCTTTTTGAAATAATTTTTAGTAACTATTAAAAAACCAACTATCTAATGATCAGTCTCCAACTAAGCTTGTTGCACTAATATCTTCCATTAGTTGGATAGTAATATTCATAGCTGATGATAAAATCTAGTATATTTTCTAGTTTCTCCTTCATGTTTTAAAAATTATTTTCAAATCTCTTTTCATGCATACTTGGACTTAATGGTTGGATTTTAATAAAAAGCTTATAACTAACAGGATAGTTATGCCCAAGAACAAGCTCAATTACTGCTTCAATTTGAGTTAAACTTCTAAAACTTATCTGCTGAATTGTTTGATGTATGGTGTTCATTTGAACAATTTTATTTGTTAGGGAAATTGATGTGAAGTATCACATTTAATTTAGTACCAAACAACTTTTCATCACCTCCCTTTCTGTTATGTTCTAATAATCTTCTACTTCTCACCTTAATTATCATTCATCACAGAATCATACTTCCCATAGCCAGTTTCTACCAGTGTAAATTATCGGGGACTACCCAGTATTTCAAAGGCCCGATAGTCACAGGTTTTTACAATACAAGTCAAAATTGAATGAATAAACAAATTCATAGGTCCATAACAGATGAATGCAACCTCAAATGAAATGTTTACAGGGAAAATTTTCGGAGGGGTCGGGCAACCAACCACCCCTGACAGCTTGCTCTTGTTTTAAATACAAAAAACAGAAGTATTTGAACTGACATTATAGTGTACAGCTCATAGCATTGGTTCAGTGTGAAGATAAATTTACTGACTGGAAGCTTTCAATATGTTTAATAAGTCAGGGATATAACATTCATTGTCACAGCACTATGGAATAAGAATCTTGAATGTCCATTCTCTCAGAAGAGCTAACTTCTCAAATCCTGATGCATATTTATGCATCAGGATAATAATACATGCATACAAGAAAATATGATTGGGGAAATGACAATAAACATTATCCATCCATTCATAAGAAACTGCAACCTTCAGGTCACATCCTGTGGTATTTTTGTCATAAAATTTTACAAATTTAATCAAACATTCAATTTAACATTTTAACTATTAAAAAATAACAACTTACATCTTATTGGGCCTTTGGATTAATGGGCCCTCGAACTAACAGACCATCACCAGATTATCAATGACTTTCTGACTAAGGATAAACTAACTTTGTAGATCAGAGTTCAGAACCTTATAAATTAATAAAACACCAATTCCACATAACAAACTGCCTAAGAGTAGATAATGTCATAAATCAACACATAAAAAACTAAAACTTGTAATAAATCAAATCTATCAGTTCATCAATTGAGTATCCTTGGTATTAACAATATTTTTTGCATAAAATCTAGCCTCAAGTTCTCCTATATTTACATTAGTTGTCGATCTTCCATTCAGTAAGTGGAGAATTTACTATTTTTTTTTTTTTTTGCAAAACAGTTATACAGATTACAATTAAGTTCCCAATAATCTTAAAACTTCATTCAAGTTGTGTCTAGTATATTTAATTCTGTGGTATAATGAAAATAAGTCAAACATTCTATTTCTTGAAATTTCTTTGTAAAACATTTTTATACCATTCTCTACACCACCACTGCACCAGCAAGTTACTCATTGTTAATTATTATATTTCATTTTCTTTTTGGTAAGACCGAAATTTAATATAACATTCTAAAATGGCCTCTCCAACTCCAGTCAGTTACATTAATTGTACTTGTACTTTATAGGCCTACACTTTTTCATTTTAGTACATGTAACAAATATTTTTACTCTCATACTCTTTGTTGTTTTTTACCAAAAACATTAACAGCCTAACAATAGTGTTATTATTTGATAAACTTACAATATAGTGATATTGTTGCTTAAAATAATTACATTAGTATATTATCAGCATGAGTGTTAGTAAATGAGTAATATATGGCAAATTGGAGCCTACAGGCCAAAGTTAAGGGTTATACTTGTAGTACAAGGAAAATTCATGTGTCACGACTTAGTCTTACGATTATTAGTAGGTTTTTCATTATAGTATACTGACATTGTGTGTAGAACGAAACACGAAAACCTTTAGAATATAAACGATCATTCCGCGCTTATATTTGTAAATAAAGAAAGACAATCCATTGCCTGTATTCTTGACCTTATGGAACGTTAATAGTAATAATACTATTATTACTACTACTAGCAGCTATACTAATATTAATAATAATACTTTAATAGTGCTCTGGTTCTAAAACGTTTTTGAACTTCGTATTACCAAAAGTAATATATATTGTTTATCCCGGCGGACTATGCAATAAACTAGAGAACTTACATTTTATACACCCCATTTAACACTGTTAACTTAATAACAGTTTAAGTACAAATTCCTAAAACTGCTTAAAATTTAAATTAAAAGGAAACTAATCTTAGTCTTAAGACATTCTCCATTATATTTAAACGTAAGTCTATTTTCCATGTACACGAGGTTATAACTTATATTCTGCAAGTTACAGATATCATCTACCTGCTTCTCTATTAGTTTAAGGTCTTAAATTTAGGGTTTAAAATTGGACCTTTAACGCAACTTTCTTTACATAAGTTAAACAACCTTTTCGTAAGTTGTCTTGAAACACAAATTGCACAACACTTCTGATACAATAAATACTGAATACACAAACGACCTCTTTCCCTTATAATTCTATCCTAGAAATAGAATGTAACACAATACAAAACTTACTTGTAAGTTTGAAACTTTTTAATTGTACAAAACGCTTTATAAAATAAATTTTGAAGTATCAATGAACACTTCTTTATAAAAAAAAAGCTCATTTAAGATATATATGTATAACAGGTTTTCTCAGGGAATTTAACTTAATTGACCATTATAAGTTCATACAAAAATGTTAATTTGAATTTAGAAATCTTCGATGTGCGGCGATGAACATCAGCACCACTTAGTACTTTAAACTGCGTTTTTAAAAGAATTTTTTTTATATAAGTTTATAAAAACACGTATTTAAAGCTGGTCCAGAAGGAGAAGAATACAATTAAAAGTTTAACAACTTATAAGTGCGCTTTGTATTGTCGTATATTTAAGTAAAACTTATTATTCTGATGGAATAGATTCGCTGAAATACAAGAGATTCGAGAATGTGTCTATTGACAAGTAATTCCGAGTTCTCTTATTTTTTCTGAAAAATGAAAAAGAAGTAAATAGGCTGAACACAATGAACAATCTTCATTATGTCAAAGACACAAACAGTGTATGAACTTGTTTAAACAATGAACTGTCATTATCACCGAATTGTAAGCGTTTTCTTGCCAAAATATTGTTCAAGATCGTAAAAATATACCAGATTGTTTAAATTTTTAGTTCTGTTACGTCTCCGTTTGTTAATTAACC